CATAAATCACAGTTTTGGAGCTTTATATTTGAGTAGTAATGTACCTCAACTGCCTAATTAGTTGGACCATGGTCAAATATAAGACAACGTTGGACCTGTATCCTCCAATGTTTGCATGTGATTCAACATTCTAGTGAATAGGGTATTAGGGTTCTATCCATGCATTTCGGATTCGAAACTTCTCATCTCTTAAATTATTGTAATAGCTGCAAACTCTTCTTCCTCTCCTCTCTCTTCTCCATAATAGTAATCGTTTTTAAAAAAAAAAAAAAAAAGACATATGACTCATTACGCGTTAAATTTAGAAAATTGATAGCTTTGTTTCCACCATATATAAAGTGCTTTGGTTAAGCTCTAAGCACCCAATTCACATGAATCACATGAATTCATACGCCAATTAACAACTTAACTTAATTGTTTCTTCTCCGACTAAGTGGAAAATACACAAAAGAAAAAGACAAAGAAAGATTAGAGGGTAGTTAGAAGCATGCATTTCAACCTAAAGCTTTTGGTCCAAGTATATTTAGTTAAATATTGCAAAGCTTTACTACCCTTTAGCTTTAATATATTCGACCACCAGCTCTGATTATTGACCCCAATATTCCCAAAATATTACTACCTTTTCTTCGCCAAATATTAAACGCATTTCAGGAAAATGGTCGGTTCGAGCTCTTACCTTTTGAGTTATAATAACATGAACATGTCAATGTCATCTCCTCTCTCTCTGAGAGCTTAATTAACGTCAAAATTTTCCGCATGGAACAACGTGTTTCCCAAGAAATTGGGGGAGAAGTCACCAGGAAGACATGGGACTAAAAAACATCAAAGAAAGGAGACAGAGGCCAAAAGTGTATATAATAATATGACCAAACAGAAGTAGTCTCATGATTATGTCGGGATGGTTGTTTTGTTTAAGGTTATTTACATGATGAAATCGGATTTACACCAATGTGAACTAGTTCTAATTTGGATGAATTACGATATATCTTGTATAGTTTATATTTGTATGATTTTATAGACGAATCTAAGTTCAAATATGATCGATTCGATTTTATACATCAACAAGGTTCAATTAGTATTCATAAACTATTCATAAACTTAGACACTCTTAACATACACAGTATTAAGAAATAGAAGAAGGATCATTGAACCTAACATGTAACATGTATTAAGGTGCAAACAAAGCAAAGAATAATAATAACTATACATCTAACATGTATAGTAGTTTCTGAATATTGAGGTTTACATTTACACTTGACATACTAACTAATGTGACATAAATAGAATGACATGGTAACATTGTTAAATGAATATAATATACATACATATATATATATATATATATATATATATATATATATATAACATAACATTCCTTGAACATAGATATATTCCTTATAAGCAAATGCAAGTGACCAACAGATTGCTGGGGAGAGTATTTGTTGTTTGCTTCTCTGTCCTTCTAAAGTAAATGTCAGTCAGTCATTTAGTGAGTGAGAGGTTTTAGGTTTGATTTTAGCCAATTGCAAATTTGAACCACATTATTGCTAGCTCATTGTGAGGTTTAGCTTACTCCCACACCCTTTTAGTGTAGATAATATCATTTGTTTAAAAAAAAAGAGTGAATGTTAGTCTACTTTGAGTTAAAATTGTTGATCTGAAAGTCACACAATAAACGAGCTATAATTTAGTATTGAACTCGCCATTTAAAAGAATCAGACCACAAACTTCCTATTAAAAGGAGAAAGAAAGTGGCTTGCTAATTGTTGATTTAATTTCCAACAAGGCATGCAAATTGAAGCTCATTGAAGTCCTAGTTTATACTAAGTTAAGTTTGGGACATCTAAGATAAGGTCAAACATGCATGACTAAGAAACTTGAAACTGGCATCTTCGAACCCATTGTTTTCAGGTAAAATATTGCTAAATACACATCTTTTTTCTCCTCTTACACACTTCATATTTAATTTTGTCTGTAATTTTTATTTGATTTATTCAATTCATGTATTGGGAGGCGTCTTATGATTAGGTACTCTCAACAAACCAATGTTTATTTATTTATGTTTGGATTGATCACCGAAACAAGTGAAATAATTATGTTAATTTCTGAAAATGAAATATTCCAACAAACAAGATGACACGAAAAGTTTTGGTGTGCTGGACCCAAAGTTTGTTGCAATGTATGGGCCGGCCCAAGATCAAGGCCAGCAAGAAACAAGTCTTGGGCCTCCTCCTTTTCATCCTATTTGGTGAAGGATAATAGGATATAAAGCTTAAAATTTTGAACTTTTCATCCTATGACTGACCTCCTTTGAATTGGCAGAGCTTCATTACCAGTGAAACATTACTGTTTTGAATTTGCTGCTCTATATTTGCACTAAAAGATTACTCTCTGTTTAGGTTGAAGGCTTTGGCAGCAGTACATTAACACTAATTTTCGTTGGCGATGCTACATTTGCACTAACTATTACTCTTTTTTAATTGGAGGCGCTATATTTACACTAAAACACTAGTCTCTTTAAATTAGAAATGTTGGCGGCCTTTTACCATAGTGACGGAAATGTGTTGAGCATTTGCATGATAGCATGGGTTCAAACCCCGTCATTGTCCACCTGATATGTCAAATAATAATGTTATTTAATAAATTTTTTATCTTTTTGTAGAGTTCAATGATTAAAGCAAACAATCAAATATTTCAAAAATATAACAACATTTATTATATATTATATTAATTTATTAAAATATCATTTAATAAATTTGACAGCAAAAGGCTTTGCCTTCAAATGACTCAGCGCCACCTAAAAAACTGAAGGCTCGTTTGGAGAGAGCTTATTGCTATTTTTAACTGTTGTATGCCTATGTGACAATTTTGACATCTCCTTTGAAGATGCTCTTAAAGTTTAATTAAATTCTCGTCACTAGAAATTTTTCTTTAAAAGAAATGAGAAACCAAGTAGCTTTTAGGTAAGTGGTAATTAAATTTTCTAGGTTCGGGTTCCTACTTCCACATTTGGTTCCCTTAGGAAAAGTTATACCGCAGTAGGAAACGACATGAAGCACCTTGTTCATGTCAACCACCACCTACACCTCTTTGGTGACGTGGTTGCAAGCACAGTGAATGTCCACCTTCTTTATCACATCGCAGCATCCTTGAGATGGATCTATCGTGGGCGAACCCTTTTGCACATAAGCTGCGCATTGTGTTATAATGTCCACAAGGTCACCTTCACATGATTCCTGCCCAACAACCAACTTTATTTCGCCAGAGAGTACAACTCCGATCAGCGCAACGACGGCCAAAACCACGAAATTACGAAGTTTAAGCATTTCCATCTCTAGGTCTACTCTCTGTCTCTGTCTCTCTCTCTCCTCTCTCTCTGTGGTTGGGTGTGGGGGTGAGTATGGTTGATAAGGATTTTGGGACCTGGATTTTGATAGGGAAAAAATCCACTTTAAGAGATCCTCATTCGCCACACAATTGATAACCCAATCTTAAAAAATCAACTATTGGATTTTGTACTTAAAATGATTCAAATCAACTATTCGATTCCATATATATATGAGTTTAAATTACTGATATTTGAGAAAGAACAAACAAGTAAAAGAGGGAGAAAAAGAAATTGAGATTCTATTATAAAATCAATTTGTAATATAAGAAATAGTTTAATTTACTTATAAGTCCATGCAAAGTTATCCTCTTATTGATGCAACTTTGGCCGAGGAAGGAACATTCTCAACCTTGGGTTCCAAAACTTGAAACAAGATTATGCCTTATGCTACGAAATTCAATCTTCTTCACCGCCTTCACCTGCTCAACTATATTTGTGAAAATATATGTGTGTTGAACAGGAATCAAGTTGTAAGGACAAAGATACTCAAAGGAAATGAGCATGTTTACAGTGAAAGTGGTTTGATCGTCTGAATGTTGAGCCCTAAAAATTGCCTATGAGTAACCAATCATAGAACACCTTATTTCGTTAGGGAAGCTAACAAAGTGACATCTTTCGACGAAAGAATCAAAGACTCCTCGTCAACTGAGAGTTGGGTAGATAACCAATCGAACTAGGAATATAATAGTGATGTTAATCCAAATTGAAGATACTCCTAGATTGACTGATTCTATAGCTCCAATGATGTTTATCACACTGAATATGTCATCAATTTGTCAACCCAGTGATGTTAATCCACACTGAATATGTCACCAAGTTGATGAAGAGGTTATTTCTTAGGGGTCTAAGAAGGGTTTCAGGTAGAGCGTTGAGTTGAAAGTCTTTTCAATGTTTCAATTCCTCATGTATTTATATGAACAAATTTCCTTGATACCTAAGTCTGCCGAGTTGCAAAATTCTGATAATATTTTGATTCATTGGCATATTCTCTAAATGTGCTTAGAATTATTCTCGGCTGAAACTCTATCGTCGTAAAATCTCGCCCTCTTCAACTAGAACTCTGAACCTAAACGTGCAACTGATTCATTCTTTATCCAGTTAGCCTCAAGTTTCTTGGCCAAGGCATCAACATCTCGCTACTAGATCAAGAAATTCTCTATTGAGCCGAGGTTTGGAGCTACCTTTTTGGGCTGACTTCAATTTGGCGTAATGTGAATTTAAGACCCAAACAAGTTCTCCGTATAATTGATGACACCCTGTGGTTGATGTTTGTTGTTTAATCAAATTTCTTAATTCCTTGAATTGCACTTACAAAATGAGGAGTTACCAGTACAAACAAAGATTAATAACTAAATATGAAGTTGTTCCTAATTAGTTCATAATTTTTTTTTTTTTAAAGGAGGAGGTGGTGGGTTAACTCTCACAATGACTTAGCAATAATGTGATTCAAATTCAGTTTTTGGCGAGAATCGAACATAAGACCTCTCACTTACAAATAAAGAGAAATATCATTACACCGTAGTATGAAGTTGCTAAAGAGTCCCTAATCTAACAATTCATAACAAAATAAAATTAAAATAAAGAAAAATTTACCTTATATTGGACCCTTCGAATAAGTTCACATCAACGATAAAGTACATATTAATTGTTCCAAATATATCATTACATCATATGACTTAGTCTTTTTTAGTTCTTCCATTGGATGCCACTTTGTCTACAACCACAAGCACATATCTAACGCTTCAACCACTAACAGGAGGAACTGTATAACCTGCAGTACATATGTAAACTTTGTTAGAACAATGATCTCCAATATACCAAATTCTGCAGAAAAACATATATATATATATGTATGTATTAATATTATCGTTTAATTCCTCTGTTTTGTGTTAAGTCCAACCACTTATAAGGTCTCCTACAACAAATAATTTATATATTATATGTGTGGGTATATATTATTGAGATTATAAATTAATTGAATAAGAGAGAGAGAGAGAGAGAGAGAGAGAGAGAGAGAGAGAGCTAGGTTAGGGTTCTCACTTCCACACTTCATTCCCTTAGGAACAGGTTTACCGCAGTAGGAAACGACATGAACAACCTTATTCATGTCAACCATCTGTTCCACCTTCTTGGTCACGTGTTTACATGCGCATGGAATGTCCACTTGCCTAATCAACTCGCAGCATGCCTCAGATGGATCTGTCATGGGCGTGCCCTTTTGCACATAGGCTGCGCATTGTGTTACAAGTCCACCAATGTCAGCTCCGCATAACTGCCCAACAACCCCGCCAATTTCACCACAGAATACAACTCCGGTGATGAAAAGGACGGCCAAACCTGCAAAGCGAAAATTGAGCATTTCCATTTCTCTTTCTTTTGTGTTCCTGTTTGTTGTTCCTTCTGTGTTGGATGTGTATGTTATGGGAGGGTGGGGGTGAGTTGCGTGGTTTATATAAGGATTTTGAGGAAGCCATTTGAGGACACTTTGCATTTAGGATCCGGGATTTGGTACATCTGTGCATAACTTACGTTACATTTTTGGTTTGCTTTTATGAAGGGTTGAATCTTACATGTGAACTCTTTTTACTTTTTAGACTAATTGTACAAAACGGAAGCGGATTTATCCCTTTATTTACGTTTCCTTTTCCAAAATTCTTCTCTTCTATCTCACTTTACTCAAATTTTTATGCTCCACTAATTAGAATCCCATATTGAAAAAGAAAAATCTACTTAGGAGATCCTCATCTCGTACACAATAAATAAAACAATCGAAGAAAATAAACTATGAAATTCTTTTTTTAATGATTTTAAATATAGATTATCAATTAGTACTATAGTCTAGTGATATTCTTTTCACGTGTGAGGTGAGAGATTTTAGGTGAATCCAATAACAATTTACTTCTTCACCTCTTATGGCTAGTTTGAGATTGTTGTTCTTCTTTAGGAAAAAAAAAAAAAAAACTACTTGATGTGCTTTAAGAATAATCAGTTGTAACATAAAGCAGTTGAGCGTTTGATAAATTGTATTTTTAAAAGTGTTGTGAGTATGAAAAGTTGCATAAAAGCATTTGGTAAATTGAATGTGTGACGGCCTGTCCCTAATTTTCCATGTAAATTTCTTACCGAGTATGTAAAATGACGTTTATGCCCTTATTGGCAAAGGGAACCTGACGTGGACGTAGTTATTCGGCTTTTAATTTATTTTCTCGTGATCGTAACTAAATAGTACTTGTTACAAATGCATGAGCGCGAGTTAGGCACGAATCAGATTTGTAACGAATAAGTTACATTTAGTTAAAGTGCGTTAACAACGGGTAGAATTGTGCACGTGTGTGCTAATAATTTAGTGGTAGAAATACTGTTTTTGATAAGGAGACAGATTTCGTGTACCTTGAATTATACAAAAATCTTATCACTTTCTCCCTTTAAAAACGGATCCCATGACCCTATCTCACCATCAATCAGTCACTTTCCTCATTTCTCTCACCCAATCAGACAGCTTTTTTTTTTCTCTCTCTCTCTCTCTCTCTATCTTTTGTCTAATTAGAAAACCTTTCTCTCATTCTCTCATATTCTCCTTCTTTCCTCTTTCACAGTGTGTCTCCCCTCTCTGCAACAACCATACATCATCATCAAACCTCACAGATTGAACTTCAAACCACCACCATCATACTTCTCTCATCCCCACAAGCCCATCAGTACAAACCAATCCTAAAATGGTGATGTTTTAAGCTTCCAACTCAAAGCAACTCGGAGCTCCAACTCAGGTGTGAGTTCTCTGACGACTTCCCATTCATGTTACAAGATTTGGAAGATTTGGAAGCATCCACACAACTCCTTGAGGTCTCTAGTTCAAGCTTGAAGCTAAGCCAACGTTGAAACACATAGTTTCAAGGAGTTGAAAATAGGTCCAGGAGCTTTAAGCTAATTTCAGTCCATTTCCGTCCACTTTTTGGACTTCCAAAATGTATAGACTTGTTTTACTCTTCATAAGCTTCATTTCCATATAATGTACATAAAAAATGGTTAAGAAATGAAGAAGATACGAAGTTTTAAAAAATTTCTAGAAATCCAGGTACGTTTTTCCAGAAACGGCGAACAGACGGCGGCGGACAACCAAAGAAGAAGGAGAATATTCCATTAAAGTTAATGGAATATTCTGTCAAATCTGACGATATATTCCTGGGAATCTGGCAACTGCTTGTAGGCGCATCCGGCCTCGTGGCGGTGAGTGGTTGTCGTGTACAAGTCCGTGACGTCGTGTGTAATGTTTTTGTACATTTAAACCCTTCATTTGAGCAAACTATGGGGGATTTTCATAGCCTTTTAGTGTATGTCCTAATTAATTAATTAGTATAGTTATTTGTCATATAGGAGAAAATTACCCTGAGGAGGTACACAGACAAGTAAGGCTAGGAGGCTACGATTCGACAACATATCAATGAGTGGGCATTTGTTTATATATATAATATATAAATTTTTATAGTTTCCACAAGTGTTTTGATTAATTTTACGCCTATCATGCCATGTTTTATTTAATTTTAAAAATGCCATTATATTGTTGAGATTTATATTTTGTCATGGCATGTTTATATACATTATACTTGCTCATCATGCATGCTTACACCAGTGTAGTACTTGCTCGAGCCAAGGCCAGGCTTCACGTGTATGTTCACATCGCACCTCACGCTCACCTTGGATCCATTGTAGGTGCCAGTCCTGTCGTACAAGTTGTAATAGGCAACTTCAACTCGTATGTGATGCGCCTAGAACCAGTCTTCACGTGATTGTAGTACTAGAGCGTATATTATGATTACACCCAATCTTGTTCATGCCAGATTCCATTTGCATGAACGCGTGTGTTAGCATAGATTGATGAGCACTTGATTTACTTATGCTACAATTGAGATATTATGATTGACATATTTCTGAAATTACTGTTGATTTACATTTGATTTCATACTTATATGTAGTATGATTTTCTAGAAACTATACGTGCTTTACGGCAATGGGTTAGTATGTTTAAAAAATAAATGTGTTTTATAAACTTTTGTTTTCGCCCACTCACCTTTTGTTTTTCGCCACTCCAAGTAGGGGTGGGTTGGAAAAACTGAAAATCGAAAAAAATCGGACCGAGGCTGAAAAAACCAAACTAAATCGAATATGTCTGGTTCGGTTTCGGTTCGGTTTCTGGGGTTCGAAAATCGAACCTGAACAGAAGTTCTTCAAAATGACGTCGTTTTATGCTATTTTATTAATGAATGATCCTAATTCTAAAACGCCACCGTTTTACCCCGAGTGTAACCTAAACCTAGGTCCTTCTCATCTCTCAGTCTCTCCTATTTTCCCACTCCCAGTTCGCTGCAACCTCCTATCTCTCTTGGTCTTCAACTCAATCACTCTCTCAAATTCTATCTCTCATTCCCAACGGTGACCATTCTCACTCACAACAAAAGGTTAGTCTCACTCACACTCTTACGTTTAGTTTTATGTTCTACATTCAAACCAAACCTCTAAAGCCTGAGTCTTAAACAGGTTAGAGTACAGGGTGAGTTATTACTTCTCTCATCGGCAATCGACGTCAGTCAAAAGTGACTCAGGTGCATCAAAAATTCTCTATTATTTCTTGTTTAAAAACTTTGATTGAAAGCCATGTGTTCCCCCAATTCATTTCTTCATTCAATTTGGTTAAAATTAGGGTTTTTCTTTCATTCTTTTTTATGTATATGATTGTATTGAGTTTTGGTTAATATTACCCAATATATTTAAAAAATTGATCTTTTTTTTGTTTATTTGTTTGTGAATGGCTAATTACCTGTTGGGATCAAAATGTGCGGAAAAGTTAAATCCATGATTAACAAAGTGATATATGTGTTCATTCTTTGTTGTGAAAATTGGGGCTTGTCAAGCCTTTCAATTTCTTAATGTGACTTGGAGGGTTTATTCACGATCTAAGAAATCTGAAAATCTATGGAGAATTATAGTTGGAATGTTTAACACTCACACTCTCACTTTTAATTTCTTAATGTTTAACACTCACACTCTCAATGTTTAACACTCACACTCACACTTTCACTTTCAATTTCTTAATGTTTAAAATTCACACTCTCATGTTTAATACAGTTTTAGAGGTTTGGTTTGAATGTTTGCTCTCTGTGATTGTTTGGACCATTGTTGCACTACTCTCGGCGCCAAGGCTCATTTGAAAGTAAAATCAAAATTCTGAAAAAAAAAAAAAAAGGGAAAAATTTGAATGTATGTGTAGTGCTATAATATTTAAGTGTATATGTTTAAGTTGGAGACTGAAAAGTACATGGACTGATCTGAGCCATGGAGGAATGAGAGTGAGAGGTTGCTTAGGATGGAGGACTGATACAGTTTAGATTTTAGAAAGCAACTTTTAATCTATAAACCATGAAAACAAGATGTAGTTTATTCGTCCCAATGTGCTTTTCTAAAACCTTTTTCTTGGGTGATTACGTCTATTAGCTTTTGTGTCCACCTGTTACATGAACTATGATAAGTCCACATCCACGCGGTCTTTTGGTGATTTTTATCATTTGAATCTGGTAATGAAGTTAAAATGGTATAGTGGGCGTTTAAGCTTTTAACTGCTATCTAGGGTGCATTTACAATGTAGAAGGGTGCCTGAGGGTTTGTGTGCCTTTATGTGTAAAACTTTTGGCTCTTATCTATAAAATCCTACTATTTGCGTTTGCGTTCAAAAAACAATGTAGAAGGTTGAAGTGAATAATTTTGAGGCTTTGATTCATTATGGTGCAGGTGTTGAGGTAGTTGTACTGTGCATTACGAAATCAAGGGAAGTTCTAAATTACCAGGCCTTCATGAATGATATTTTAGGTGTGGAAGACTTAAACTTTGGAATGTTTATTTTAGGTGTGGAAGACTTGAACTTTGATGTGTATTTTAAGTTTGGACATTTGAAAGATTTGAACTTTGATATTTATTTAACTTTGGACTTTGGAAGACTTGATTATAATTGGACTTTGAATTGAATATTTATTTTCATTGTCTTTGATGATTCTATTAGAAATTTGGAATGCTTATTTTGACGATTATGTTCAAATGGGACTTTGATTTTATTTATACTCCTTTGGAAGATGTATTACTGACCCAAACAGTAATTTTGGTTTGGTTTTCGATTTTGGCAAAAAAAACCGAGCCAAACGGAGCCAAACCCACCCTACCTCTAAGACTTAGTTAGCTGAATTTTCTATGGCATATGAGGGATTTCGGGCAGTTCTGACATTTCCACAAATAAATGTAGGAGATTATTTCTGATTGTGTAATAAGTACCCTAACTAGTTTCAACTTCTCTACTTATGCCATACTATCATCTATGCTTTGAACACTTGTGTTTTATGGGTTCTTCTCACTACTACACACTCTCTACTTTAGATTCAATAAATGATAGCTTTGGTTTAAATTTATCCATATTTTTATGCTTTACTTTCCATTTTGGTTACGTCACATTCGGGTGTCAACTAGCATGCCTCGACTCTGGTCGGGGTGTGTTAGTTTGGTGTCAGAGCATAGGTTTGGTAGTCCTGCATTCCCCGCATGTGTTATAGATCCTAATAATTTTTTATCTCTTATGTCAAAATCATGCCACGTCGTAGAGCGCCACCTGTCCCTTATGAGACAAACTTTCCTGATTTTGGGCAACTCGGTAAGGCTATTTGTCACATTCCAGACCGGCTCCGCCGTAGCATGATATTATCCGTTTTGAGTCATGCCTTAACGGTTTTATTTCTAGGAACTCACGAACAACTTCCCAGTGGGTCACCCATCATGGGATTGCTCTAGCCCTAACTCACTTAACTTTGAAGTTCCCACGGAATTCGAAGCCAGTGAGTCCCCAAAAGACTTCGTGCTATATGGAGGTGAGCATGTACATATAAGGCACATCACCCCCTCTCTGTTGGTCGACGTGGGATGTTACACTATTGTCAGCGCTATTCAGTCAACATTTCATCCTCCCCAAAAGACTACCTTAGAAACCATGTCCCATCTTCAGATAAATAATTTCTTTGGCAATGAAGGACCCGAGAAGTTCGAGGAATGGATTGACCATGTTGAAAAGACTTTTCGCATTATGTAGTGACAAGGGAATCTTCTAGCCGAGCGATGGGTCAAAATAGCGACTTGGTTCTTTCGTCTGGGAACGGAATCATGATAGGCTCACGAGTCACGCCCGTTGTTTGCTTAGGATGCCATGAGCTGGGATGTTTTCAGGCGCTTATTTGAGGCCAAATTCACACCTCCTGAATACCAAGATCGAAAGAGAGACGAATTCATAGAATTGAAGCAGGGTAAAATGTTAGCCATATAGTATCACTGAAGGTTCACTGATTTATCTTGATATAATCCAGTTATCGCTGAGAATCCCAGAGAGATGCTTCGTCAGTTTAAGAAGAGGACTCATAAATGACTACGTTATTTGGCGGCTTTTACTCCATGCTCCACCTACCAAGAATTCTTTGAGATTCTGCTTCGTGTTGAAGATTCTAAGAATAACCGTGATGATGAAGAGAATAATAGTAATACTTAGAAGAATAATAACATGGGGCAGTCATCCTTTGGTTCTCCAAAGACTCAGCATTTTAAGAGAAGCGGTAATAGTTATGAATCATCTAGTGGTGGTTTAAGTTCCAATACACCTCGAAGGGGCAGGAAAATCCACTGACAGTTCCTGTTTTTAGAATCAAAGGAACCCCAACAATTCTGATGCGCAATTTTTCCACAGGTGCAATAATTGTCACTGCGGTGAATGTAAGAGAAGAAGTAGTAGATGCTACACATGCGGTTAGATAGGGCATAAATCTAATCAATGCCCTCAGAATCAGAAAAATCAGCCTTCTACACTACTACATATAGTTCATTTATAATAGATTCTAGGACCTGGTACTTACCAGCAGACAGGTTATGGTGGTGTTTTCCATTACTAGGGCAACATAACCCAGTATTCGGGAGGAGCGTATCAGTACCCACCTGATATTCCATATTGCCAGGGTGGCTATCAGCAGTACCAGGGGGTTATACACCATACCAGGGTGGTGGAGCATAGTGGTATGCTAGAGGACAGTACCAAACTCTTAATGTAACTTCTAGCAGTGGCAGCTTGGGTAGGCAGACTAATCAAAACAATCAGGGTCGAAGTAATCAAGGACGCGGCAATCAGAATTAGGCGAATAGAGGTCGTGGAGGCAGACATCAAGTGTAGGGTCACATCAACAACATCACCATTGTTGATGCTCAGACTAATCCCGACTTGATCATGGGTACGTTGAATGTTCTTGGCCACTTTGCTAGAATTTTAATTGACTCGGGTGCTACTCATTCGGTTATTTCCCATATGTTTGCTCAAATGACTCAACCTCACCCTACTCCCCCTCGATTATGATTTGGAGTTCTTGATGCCTAAAGGTGAAATTTGTTATGTTAGTTGGGAGTACCGAGGATGTCCCGTTCTTATCAAGGACATAGTAATGCCAGCTAATCTTGTTCCCTTAGACATCGTTGACTTCGATGTTATCTTGGGCATGGATTGGTTAGATTACAATTATGCCATGTTGTTGTAGCCAGAAAATTGTTACTTTCCATCGACCAAGCATGCTTATTGTAACTTTTGTCGGCGAACATAGTGGTATGAAACACAGAGTTATCTCTACCATAAGGGCGAAATGGATGTTGAGGAAGGGTTGTCAACACTACTTAGCTCATGTAATGATGACTGAGGAGACTCTTGCTCATGTGGAAGATGTTCGGGTAGTCAGACATTTTCCTAATGTTTTTTCTGACGATTTACCTGGCCTACCATCGGATCGTGAAATGGAGTTCACCATCGACCTAATTCCAGGTACATACCTTATTTCTCTAACTCCTTATCGTATGGCTCATGCGGAGTTGAGGGAATTAAAAAATCAATTGCAAGAACTTATTGATAAGGGGTTTATTCAGTCGAGCACTTCCTCTTGGGGAGCTCCAGTCTTGTTTTTTTAGAAAGAAAGATGAAACATTGAGGCTATGTATCGATTACAGACAGCTGAATTGGGTGATAATTAAAAACCATTATCTGTTGCCTTGAATCGATGATCTTTTTGATCAGTTTCGTGATGCTTGCGTTTTCTCAAAAATTGATCTAAGTTCTGGTTATTATCAACTAAAGATTAGAAGTGATCATGTTCCAAAAATAGCCTTCCGAACTTGATATGGTCATTATGAGTTTCTTGTGATGCCATTCGGGTTAACTAATGCTCCAGTAGCTTTTATAGACCTGATGAATAGGGTTTTTCGTCCGTATCTTGACAGGTTCGTAATTGTCTTCATCGATGACATTTTGGTGTATTTTAAGAGCGAGGCTGACCATGCTAGACACTTATGTCTGGTTTTGAAGAAGCTAAGGGAGAATCAATTGTAAATGCTAGTTCTGGCTGGTTCATGTGTCATTCTTGGGACATGTGATATCAACTCAGAGTGTTTTGATTAATTTTATGCCTATCATGCCATGTTTAATATAATTTTAAAAATGCCATTATATTGTTGAGATTTATATATTGTCAAGGCGTGTTCATATACATTATACTTGCTCATCATGCATGCTTGCACCGGTGTAGTACTCGCCTGGGCCTGGGCCAGGCTTCACTTGTATGTTCACATCGCATAACATGTTCACCTTGGATCCATTGTAGGTGCCAATCCTGTCATACAAGTTGCAATAGGCAACTCCAACTCGTATGTGATGCGCCTAGCGCCAGTCTTCATGTGATTGTAATATTAAAAGCGTATATTATGATTACACCCAATCTTGTTCATGTCAAAATCCCTTTGCATGAACTCGTGTGTAAGCATAGATTGATGAACACTTGATTTACTTATGCTACAGTTGAGATATTATGATTGACGTATTTTTGGAATTAGTGTTGATTTACACTTGATTTCATACTTATATGCAGTATGATTTTCTGGAAACTATACGTGTTTTATGGCGAGGGGTTTGTATGTTCAGAAAATAAATGTGTTTTATAACTTTTGTTTTTGCCTACTACCTTCTGTTTTTCGCCCCTCCAGAACTTAGCTAGCTGAATTCTCTGTGGCGTACGAGGGATTTCGGGCGGTTCTGACATTTCCACAAATGAATGTAGGAGATTATTTCCGGTTGTGTAATAAGTACCTTAACTAGTTTCAACTTCTCTACTTTTGTTGTACTGTCATCTATACTCTGAACACTTGTGTTTTATGGGTTCTTCCCACTACTGCGCAATCTTTACTTTAGATTTAATAAATGTTAGCTTTAGTTTAAATTTATCCATATTTTTATGTTTCACTTTCCTTTTTGGTTATGTCACCTTTGAGTGTTGGCCAGCATGCCTCGACTCTGGTCGGGGTGAGTCATAATGTAAAGTGATATAATCATAAATAATGACAAAAATGGACATAGTAGTGTGGGCGGTGATAACGGCAGTGGTGGTGATTGTAGTGCTATTGGCGATAACAATGACAATGATGCTGGTGTTGATGAAGGCAATGATATAAGGTTGGTTGTTGCAGTCGTAGGTGGTGGTAATGACTATGGTTGCAATGGCAGTGACAGTAGTAATGGTAGTGGCTGTGGGGCTGACGGTGGTGGTGGTGATAACAAGAATAATTGTAAAGGTATAGTGGTGATGTGAATAGTGGGGTGTGGTGGTTGATGCACAAATGTTATAATGGTGGTAGTGGTGGTGGTGGTTGTGGTGAAGGCGGGGGCGGTGATGATAATAAAAGTTGTGGTAATGGGAATTGTCGTGGCATGTGGTGGTGATGGTAGTGGTAGTGACGATTGGTGGCGGTGGCAATGTAAAGTTAGTGGTTTTAGTGATAGGTGGTGACAATTACTTTGTTTTTTAAGGAAAAAATTTATGTAGAATGATAAATAATGTCCTTTTGTCGTTTTTAAAAATTAATGAGGGTATTACATGAATTAAAAATAGTTATTGAAGACTCCCTGCTTTTTATAAAAACAGCTTGTAAAAGTAATTCATAGATGTTATTTGGAGGTCATTGCTTTAAAAATAAGGAAAACTAATAAAAAAATCTTGAAAACTTTGAGTTTTAACGATAATGACAAAATAAAGGATAAAGTAAATAGTACCAGGATTGACTTTTTAGTGTAAAAATGTGGTTTTTCGTTAAAGTGAATAGTACTATGAGCTTTTCGTTAAAATTTCCTTAAAAATAAGATATTTTAATTTTATCAAACAATTTTTTTATTGATTAACTTTGAAATGAAACAACATTTGTCCAAAAAAAAAAAAAAAAACTTTAAAATGAAACAACTTTTGGTAAAAAACCTATACCAAACGGGGCTTAATGTAAATATATCTTTTGTTTTAGACCCTTTTTAACATATTTGAATGACTAATCTCACGCCATGCCATTGATAAGCCCTTTTTTTTTTTTTTTGTTTTTTTGGTCCTACCATTAGTCAAACAGTTTACTTGTCAGAACATATAAGGTTCATTCTTTCCTCATTGTGGATTCATATTCCTATAAATACATTGCTTGGTTAGGCTAGTGGTCTCTCACATGTGAGATCAAAATGTTGTACAAATCTATAGGGGTGGTTCGTATGGGTTCCCAAACCAAATTTTTTCGGGACACAAATTTGAAGATCAATCCCGAACCAAAATTTATGTATTCCCAATTTTCAAGATTTTCGAAATGTTTGTGGTATTTCGGGATGGATCAAGACTGCATTTTGAGTTTTAGATTTTTAGCTTGAAATTTGAGATTTTTAGGCTGTGAGCTAAAATTTGGACTTTCAGACTAAAATTTTGTTGCCCAGTTTTATCTCAAGTCAAATTGACATTTCAAAGTTCCAAATCTAACATAAAATAGTTTTTTATGAACAAATTTTCGAATTAACAAACAAAATAATTATTATCTTGTGATTTAAAACCTTTAGTAAATTGAGTATTTTACTAAATTACCATTCTTCCTTATAATCTATTGATTTAATAGAGGGGCTAAAATGGGAAAATATGCTTGTGCTCCGAAATCTGGAAAGTGGACTTGCGACACGCCAACTCATGAATTTTAATTTCAATTTGGAACTCCCTCCTTAGTCCCTACTCCGTACTCGTTTATCTTCTTCGACGCCCAACCTTTTCCTCCTCACTGAAAATTGAAAATCCCCAAATCCCCAAATCAATGGAGCGGCAGAAGCGCACGGTGGTTTGCCCGGAGAACGAAGAGCTTGCGACTTACATGCTGAGCAAGTGGCAGGAAATGGCCGATCAAAAGCCCAAGGGCATTTCCGAGAACATCGAAATGACTCTTTCCAAGGCTTACGCCAACCTCTGCAAATCCAAGAACCCTATTAAAACGCTCAAAGATTTTTCCCAAATCAAGTGAGTTTTCGAGAAAGTTAGCATTTTTTTCGGTAATTAGCGTTGAATTCTGATCATTCTTGGAGTGCAAGATTGTCACTTGTGGGGGTTTGAAAACTTAATTAATCGAAGGATTGTTTGTTATGTTTGTGGGCAATGTGGGACGTTAAAGTTTGAATTTTTCTTTGAGTTGTTTGAATATTATAGTTTTTTTCTAATTTTGTTCACTTTGCCATGTTATACTGGTTGCAGTCCAAGTTTAGTTTATTGTTTTCTTCTAGGAGTTTAGATGATTTTGTGGAATAAGAAGACACCTTCACACCGGAAGCTTAATGATGAATTTGAGATATTACTGCTTATCTTGATAGACAAAACAACGTCTTTATGATTTGAAAACCTGTTGAGGGGTTTGCCATTTCATGTTTCGATTTCTTGGCAAGATGTGAACTGTTCATATTTTAGTGCAGGGGCATCGGGAAGTGGATTTTGAAGCTTATGAAAGGATTTTTTGATACTGCTTCAGACAATTCTGAACCAGAAGACATAACTAAAAAGGGTACTTTTATAATTCATTGGCTTTAGATTCTGGTTATATGATATACATGTTAAATTCATTGCTTTTTTTCTCAAATGTGTGTGTATTTTAGGTAAGAGAACCAAAGGAAGCAGACGTTATGTTCCACAAAAGAATTCTGTAGCATATGCATTGTTGATCACACTTTACAGGTAAACTGAAATTGTGCTTAACTAAGTATGCACTTACATTATTTGTAATTGAATGTGTTTTGTCAAATTTTGGAAGTAGGAGTTAATGATAAGTTTTTCGTCAGGGGAACTGAAAATGGGAATGAATTTATGCGTAAACAGGAGCTTATTGATGCTGCTGAAGCAAGTGGACTTTCTCGTGTGCCAATCTTGTATGATGTTGATTGATTATATTAGTTCTCTAAATTTTTTTGTCATTTTTGTTTAATACGGATGCATGTGATGTTCTTATACCTGGTTTGTTTTTAGGCCAGAGAAGGGAAAGGGAAAACCTGGACACTTTGCAACTTCTGCAAGGGAATGGTATAGTGGATGGTCCTGCATGACGACATTAATAAACAAGGGACTGGTTGTGAAATCAAGTAACCCAGCAAAGTATGGCTTTTGCTTCTTCTTCTTTTTTTTTTTTTTTTTTGTTGTTGTTGTTGATTTGCTGTGTTAGTTACTTTATGCTAAGAAGGATTTGTTTAATTATCTTATACTTTTTTTTTTCTGCCGCAGCGCTTATAAATTTAAATGGCAATTTAGCTAACCTATTCCCTCTTATTTCTATATGAAAACATTTTACATAGCTTAGGAACAGGAATAAGTTATCACATTGTCTTTGTGAAAGTTGAATTACTGACAAAATCATTTCACCATTAAAAATAATATAGTAGGAGAGATCTACTTTGATGCGAAGGATGATTTACTTTTAGACTAGGATATGGGGTTATTAGAATAAATATTGAGTTGTGGTACCTAAGTCTTTTCTGTTTAACAGAAGCATGTATCTCTGCTGGAATATGGAAAAACATTTGGTTTTAGGTAAATTTCATCTGATAAGAGGCTTAAGAAAATGTACGATTCTTAGCCCTGGAACTTTTGTGTCATATGGCTAGTTTCAAGATGATTTAGTACTTGCCTGTACCAAAAATCATGTGTTATTGCGCGCAATTCTTGTAAAATTAGACCTATAAATTTCAAGTTGCACTTGTATTGCATTTGTACCTATTAGCAGATGTGTAATGCTGTAGAAACTGTAGGTACATGCTTACTCCAGAAGGTAAGGTAACTGCAAGTGAATGTCTCGTGAGGTCTGGTATGGAAAAACCTGTAGGAAAGACTTCTCATTCCACCGGGCTTTCTGGAAATGGGGACGATATTTCACATCAGGAGCTTGCTCATCATGACTCAGCCACTGTGGCGACATTGGTCTCCACTAATTTGAGTCCAAAGGAGAAATCCTTTGATATTCCACAGGAATACCTTGACAAGGTGTATATCCATCTAGCTTTTAATTTTTAAATTGAATTGTGGATTGGGAAAAATAACCAGTTTACATCTTCATAATTTTGTTTTTATTTCAAAACATCATCCTTTCCAAGATTTATCTTTTAATTAAAGCGTGCATTGTAGTTGCTGAAGTCGGATGATACTGTTCCTATGATTGATTGTCTTTCTCCGCGGTATCCCCTCATGTCATGGATTGCGGTTTCCCTTGCTTATAAACTGATATTGATATTATATTTGCAATACGAGATTTTGTTTTGGCCAACACCTGTATCCTGAATGGAATTTGACTTTTACACACTTCACCTATCTTCCAAATTGTTCATGGAGATATTTCGGGGCAGAAAACCAAAGTTGAGAAGGTCCAAGATCCATTGATGTTCTTGTACGCAAATAAATATGAGATTTCTTCAGTTGAACTATAAGGAAGCATATGAATATTACATTCTTTTTGCATCCTCTGGTCATAGTACTTTGAAGTATAAGTTCTAATTACTTGGTTTGTCTAGGTCAAAATTCTATCTTTATTAATTGTCTTGTTTCTGTAGTATATGTGCATGGGGTATTCTAGAGAACAAATTGTTCGAGCTTTTACTGAAGTTTCGGAAACTTCCAATGACAAGGAAATGTCTTCACTATGGCCATCTGTTCTGTGTCGTCTTCGAGAAGATGAAGTTTATGGTTTGCATTTGAAGTCTCAAACTTTGAGGGAAGATCTTTGTCCAGCACCAGTCACTCATGCGGTTGCGAATGGTAAGCTTGCTTTATATGCTTCTAAGTGATAGAGCATGCTGAAATTCTCCTAAACTATCTAAACCCCGTCTTATAAAGCTTACTATAATTACTCAGGTCACAGAGAATTTGTAGTGAGTGAGAATAGACTGGCCAAATTTTCTCTCAATGGTGGACATGTGCCAAAAATTAATTCGGATGAGTCATTACCAAAATATTTTACACTTAGAGCTTGTTCTTCAACGGTATGTGACATGTGAACTTAGTTAAATTAGGATGATAATGTTAATTTGTGGCTACATCTTGCATATCTGACTGATACATATGGAACATACTGAGTACTGTATAAAAGGGAGAGTCATGGTATTTAAACCACCTGCCCTACCTGTGTTTCCCCTCATTGACTTGTTGACTTTATTAGAGTCATTCTGTGCCAAAGTCATGTTCGAATGGATTGGAAGCAAGTTCGAGTGTTTTATCTATACCACCGCTAAGCTTTGGTGACAGATTTGAGGATGCATATGAAGTAATCT